TTAAAATAAAAAAAAAAAAAAAAAAAAAAAAAACAAAACTATTTAATAAAAAAAAAATATAAACAAAATATATATATATAGATATAAATATATAAATAAATAAAATAAGTATAACAAAATATATATATATATAAAGAAAAAAACAATCAAAAATAAAAAAATTATAAAGGAAAAATTAAATACAAAAAATGACTGATAGAAGAGCTTGGAGCGATAATGTATTAAAAATAATAATTTATTTTTTTATTTAAGCAAAAAAAAAAAATAATATAGGAGGATTAAGTAATTAAAGAATTAGTGGCACTTTACGGAATAAAAAAATGGACAATAATAGCTTAAAAAATGGAAGAAATATATTCATTAAAAGGACGTTCAGGTAAATAATGTCGTGAGCGTTGGCACAATCACTTAGATCCTGGTATAAATAAACTACCATGGTCTGAGAAAGAAGAGAAGATAATATTCGAAGCACATAAATAATATGGTAATAAATGGGCAGAAATAGCAAAATATTTACCTGGCAGAACAGATAATTCTATAAAAAATCATTTTTATTCAACATTAAGACGTTCTCTAAGACGTATAAATAAGCTTTTGGGTGATAAGAACAGTAAACAACAAATAATAAAATTATTTATTTTATTTATTTAAAAAAAATATAAAAAAAAAAAAATAATAAAAAAGGTACTGCATAAGTAAAAGATATAAAACCGGGTGTATTATCAAAAATATTCATTTTAGCAGAAAAAGATGTGAATGAAATAAAAGATGAAAACATGAAAAAGCTAAGTATAGCCTGTAAAGGTTTATAAGACTAACTATTATAATTTGCAAATTAAAAAAACCTTTAAAAAGTAGAAAAGGAATGGAAGAAGAATATAAAGATGAAGAAAGGGAAGGCGTTTTTAAAGTATTAATCGAGAAAATTTTAGAATTTAATTAGTTATATAAAAAATAAAGAGAATAACGTGCAAAATATAAAGGGAAAAAAATCAATAGTAATGAAATTAGCTTATTAAATAATTAATAATTAAATGTGAAAAAAGAGGATAATAGTGAACTTTTTGATTTGGAAGAAGATGATGAAGAAGAGGAAGAAGAAGAGAATTCTGAAGAGTAATTTAGTTAAACTTCAAATAAATAATAAAATTAAGAAAATGAATAACTTTTTGAATAAATAGATTCTTTGTTAAAAACGAAAATAAGAAAGGGAGAAAAAAATATTTTTAAGGTTGTTTATAAAAATGCTTTGAAAGAAAATTAGAATTTATATTAAAATTAATTAAGTATTCCTGATTATTAAAATAATGTTTTCTTTTTTTAAAAAAAAATAAAAAAAAATAATAAATAAAATATATAGAATTCTTATATTAATTTTTTAATAAAATATAAATAGGTAAATAATAATGAAAATGCTAATAAAAATTAATAGAATTTTGAATAAGAAAACTTTAATAATTATCCTAATTTCATGTAAAACATTTATTATCCTTTTTTTTAACCAAGTAAAAAAATTTATTTAAAAAAAATAATAAAATAATAAAATAATAAAATAATAAAATATATATATATATATATATATATATATATTTTTATATATATAAATATATAATTATATTTATTTTTATATATTAATAATAGATTTAATTGTTACTTCTCCTAATTTCGCGCCTGGTATACATTCACCTGCTTAAGTATTTAGACCTTTTAGTACATCATATTATTATGTAAGTAAAAAACAATAAGGTGAAAACTAACCATATAATTTGAATGAAATAATAGAAGAAAAATAAAAAACAAACAATTATTTAAATAAAATTTCAACTGAATATAAAAACTAGGTTCAATTAAAATAAATTAAGAAAAATTAAATAATCTAATTTAATGATATTATTGTAAAACAAAATGAAAACTCATTGCAAAATAGTTCCAATAAAGATATTCCTAATAAAACTTCTCCAAATGATGAGATGAGTTTAGATATTGATCTTATAAATGCGACATGTCATGATGGAAAGTAATACGTTGAACCTTTCGGTTCTTATAAAAATAAATAATTTTGTATTTCACCTAATTCTCCTTTCGTAATGAATAAATAAATAAAAAAAAATTCTCCTAAAAGTTATGTAGCCTCTAGTAATAGTGATAGTAATTCAAACCAAAATTATAATAAAAACTTTATAAAAGCTAATTAAAATAATAATAGTAATATAGGTAGTAGTAATAATATTCCTATTAAAAATAATATTTCTGTTAAAAATAATAAAAGTGATTTTGTTTAAATTTAGAATTGATTTTTTTTTTTATTTTTATTTTTATTTTTTTTCATATTTTAATTATTTTTATTAGAGACTTTTCAATCTTTTTGTTGTTGTTGTTGTATTTGCATTATATTCATCAATATATTTTTATGTTATTAAAGAAAATGTATTATTATTAAAATATTTAGCGCTTTTTTATTTATTTATTTGTTTTTTTTTTTGTATTTATGTATAAATTGTTTTAACATTTTATTAATTAATTACTATATTTTTTAAATTAATATTTTTATATATAAAATATAATGTTTTTAATATTGATATTTCAATTTAATTATATTATATTAATAAAAAATTACAATATTTTATATATATATAATTATTTTTATATTATTTAATATCTTAAAACAAATATAAAGTATATGAGGCGGGGGGGGGGGTGTGGGAAAGTATTTAAATTCTTATATATAAGTTTTATCTTCAATAAAAAAATCATAGGCTTTTAATTTTCAATTTATTATTAACTTATATATAAATATATTAATTATATTGCTTTTATTAATTTTTATAGTCGATATTTTATAACTTTTAATGAGCTTTTAGTTGTGGAATATATACAAAATTTTATAATTAAACATATTTATTATATATACTATAAAAAAACTTACTTTTATGTATTTAAGTATTAGTTTAAAAAAACAATTTTTTTTAGTTTTATCATTATTTCAATTAAATAAGTTAAAAATCCTATATATATTTCTGAGTTTATTAAACCTTTAAAAACATCATAAATTTTATTATTCTAATTTTTTTCAATAGCGGTTAATAATGAATAATTAGAGCTTTTTTTCACATATTTTAATTGAGTTCTATTAATGTTTTTTAGACAATCCATAAAGTTAAATTTAGTTATTTAGGTCCTTTGCTTTTAATTGGGATTATTACACCAGTTTTTATATATTATAGAACACTAAAACTAACATTATAATAGCTTAATTTCATTATTTTATAAATTTCTTAGTAATCATACATAGCTAAATTAGTTATTTTATGTTTTTTAATATTTAAAGGTAATAATTACTATTATTGTTTCTATATCGGCATTTAAATATTATTTAATATTTTGTATCTATTAAAAATGAATATTATTTAAAAACTTATTTTTAATTATAGGAAAGGCTGTTATTTATAAAATTTTTGATATTTTAACTTTAGTAATTAATTAACTTATTTTTTTTATTATTATATTGGATTTTTTAAATATATATATATTTTTTTTTTTTTAAGTTTCATTTTTTATTTATCAAAATAATAACTGATTATTTAATATTAACTAAAAAATATTTTTTTAGTTAACAAAAAAAAGGTCGTGTAAAAATAATTGGAATTATATAAAAAATCAATTAAAAGATAAAAGAATTCAGTTTAACAATAAAAATAATTGCTTTTATTATAAAAAGGAAAAAAAAAAAAATTAAAATAACTAAAGCCAATAATAGTATTATGAATACTTAATTTAAGATATTTAATATATAATGTAAACTTATAAAGCTTATAAAGCTATTTATTAAATATATATTTTTTTCTATATATGAATTTATAGGATATAAGATAAGATATAGATTAAAAAATATCTTAAATTACCTTATAATAATAAATTTATACATATTATAAATAATATTAAAAATAATTTATTTATAGAATAAATAATATTATGATTAAGAGTATAAAAATAGTATTATATTCAAATTATATATATCTATTATTAATAATAAGAGGCTTAAATATAAAAATGAATGTTTGTATTAAAATCAATTTAAAATTGGAATAACTATGAAAAAATATAATATTAGATAATAAATTAGAAAAACAAGGAAAAAAATAAAAAATAAAAAATAAAAAATAAAAATAATTATAAATAGATATTGATAATATTATTGAAAAATAAAAAATGTTATAATAGAGAAAAGATATATATATAAATAAATAAATAAAAAAAAATATATATAATTTTATAAAAAGTGAGTAATAAATACTATTAAAAGTTCATTAATTAAGATTGTAATTTTTATATGTAAAAATAATTAAACTAAAATATAAAATACCTAATAATACTAAAATATATCTTTGTATACAAAAATATTTTATTATAAAAAAAAAAAATATCAATATAAATATATATATATATATATATTTATAATTAAATAATATTTTTTTTTTATTTTTAATTATGAATATAAGCAATTAATAAATGTATAATAATAGAGTGCTATATAATTAATTAAAATATTTAAGATAAATTTATCTTTTAATAAATAACATTTAATTAATACTTTAGATGTTTAAAAATACATATTAATCAAATATATTTATTTAATTATATTAAATGCATATTATTATATTAATTTTAATAAAATAATTATCTTTTAAAATACATTGGGAATAAAATATATATATTAAAAAAATAAAAAATAAAAATAGATGTTATCTAATTTACATATAAATTAAACTTCGAAACAAATAATATATATATAATGGTTTATAAAAGTAAGTTTAAAAATAAAACTTGATATATGAACATATATTAAGATATATACAAAACATATATATAAATTTTATGTATTTATTATATTTAAAAAATATATTAAAAGATAAATTAATTAAGTTTTAGTTTAATGTATAAAATAAATAAAAAATCAAATAAATTATATATTGTATTTTTTTAAATATTAGAAATAAAATTAAAAAATTAAAATTAAAATTAAAAATAATTATAATTTATATAATTAAATATCGGAGATTATATTCAAAAATATTTAAAATTAAGTTTTTGTTTTTAATAATGTTATATATTAATTAAAACATCAATCAAAAAAATTATATTATAAAAAAAAAATATTTAAGTTTTACATTTATTTAAAATTAAAAACAATAAAAAAAAATATATATATAAATAAATAATTTATATTAAATATTATTTTGATAATTATTTCATATTAAATATTAAATAAATTAAAATAATTAATTAAAATATGTAAACTTTTATTATATATAATAAATATAAAATTATTTTTTATTAAAGAATATTTATTTATTATTTATATAAAAAATTTTTTTTAAATAAATAATATAAAAAAATAAATAAAAATAAAATAATATTATTGTCTATTTTTCTAATAATTTATTTATTATTAATATAATTTGATATCATTGATTTGAATAATTATCTTAAAATTATTTAAAATAAAAAATATATATAATTATATTTATATATATATATATATATTTATATATTTTATCAAAATATATATAAATTATAATACTTCAATTATTCGAAATTATTAAACTGTCTTAATGTTTTTTAAATGTTTATTATGATTTTTATATTGCATCATTTACTCTCATACTTATATCTTAATTTTGAATTTATACTAGTTTTTAATAATTTTCTTATTTTTTTAAGTTTAAATTTTATAATATAATATTACTTTTATTTGGTTTAACTTATTATTAATTTTATTTTTATGTTTTTTGTTATTATAATTCTTATTATAATTAGGATTATATTTGAATTTCTTTTTATAATTAATTATTATTATTATTATTATTATTATTATTATTATTATTATTATTATTATAATTATGTCATTTAATACATTTAATGTTATTATGATTAATCTTTTAAATATTATTATTCTTATATTTATTATGATTATTATTATTATGTTATTGATTATTATTATTATTGAATTTGAATTATTTTTATTCTTGTAGTATATTTTCATATTAATTTTATTATTATATATTTTAAATTGGTGTTTATTAATATTAAATATTAGAATATGCAAGATAATTTAAATTATTTTAACTATTTTATAAATTACTCATTTATTGTTATATATTATTTGCTATTAAATACTATTATTATTAATATAATTAATATTAATATTTTTATTATTATTATTATTATTATTATTATTATTCATTTACTAAACTTTAATTTTATGTTACATTAATTCCTTTTTATTAAATTCATATTTTAAGTATATAATTAACTTTAACAAAAACTTTAATTCAGCTATTTATTAATTATACAAAATATTTATTAAAAAATATAATTTTAAATAAATAAAACTATACTGGTGATTAGTAATATATAACAGAATTTCTTTACATTATCTAACTGTTTTCTATCGAATTTTTAAAAATGGTAATAAAAATAGTTTTTCAAAATCTTCAAAAAGAAGGTCTTAAATTTTCATCATCTAAAAGCATATCTTTAATAAAATTTACAAAAAATTCACTATATCTAAACCTACATTTTACCAAAAGTTCCTCAATAATAGGATGAGAAATCATTAAAGAATTATAGTCATAACAACACATAGGATTAGATAAACTAGCAGCCTCTAAAATAGTCATACCTAAAGAATAAACATCGCTTTTGGCAAAATCATGTAAAGGACGTAACTCTCTTTGAGCTAAACTTCTCATTAATATAGGAGAAAGATAACTCTTTTCTTTTTTAGTCAATGATTTATGATAGTTTGTTTAATCTACATGTAAAATACCATGATCTGCAATTTTTACAAACCCTTCAGGTGTTAGAATAATATTTACTGGCCTTAAATCGCCATGATATATTTTATGCTTTTCTAAATAGGAACAAGCTTGAATTAAAGAATCTAATAAATACCATATTTCAGGTTCTGAGAAAAATTCCTATAATAAAATTACGAATATATAAAAAAAATATATTTATATTTATATTTATAAATATATATATATATATATATATATATATATATATATATATAAATACTTAAGAATCTCTTCTTCTGAATAATTCTTTTTATAAATCATATAAATAATATTCGAAATATAATGTTATTTTATTAAAATCACCACATATATTTTCTTCATTTGCTTATTAAACATAATATAATTGCAAAATGTTTTTTTGTTTGAAATTTTATCGAATTTTGCATTAATGCAAATATTTTTAATAATCATCTGTTGAATTACACATATGGTCCTTTTTTTTTTTATTTTTTTTTATTTTTTTATTAATATTTATATAAGCAAATACCTCTTTATGTAATATACTTTTTTTCGGTTTTATGTTTATATATGTATATGTCACCAAATCTTTTATCATTTTATTCAGTGTAGAAGTCGTATTTTTATTTAAATTCTTTTATGAATTAGGATTATTCTTCTTCTATGGAAAATTCGTTACCCATTTTTTATTAATTTTTATTTAAATTTTATTATTTTTATTAATCGTTTATTAATATATTTATTTTTATTACTAAAATAATCGTTTTTTAAATAAATCATAAAATATTTAAAATTTAATTCATACAAAATATTTAGATTATACTATATATTGTATAATTACTATTTATTTAAAGGAATATTAAGGGATTTTTTAAAAAAGCCAAATAATAAATAAATAACCTTATGTTTTTATTATAAGGTTAAAATAAATAATATTTATATATGCCTTTATGATAAATAAAAATAAAAGTTCTATTTAAGACTGCTTAGTTGACAATATTTGCTTTTTTGAGTATTCATTTTAAGTTAGATATTATTGTTTTTTTTTAGGAATGAATTTATTTACTTCTTTTAAACAATTTTAATATATGATTCGAATAATAGGAAAGGAAAAGTAAAACTTCGTAAAAATAATAGATTAGAACTATTTTATATTAAAGTTTTTAAAAATATTTTATTAATTTAGAATATTAATTGATTTGGAATAATGAAAAAGATAGTTTTAAGTAATAAATATTCTAAATTTGGAATAAAAATTATAACAGCAACAAAATTTTTTAAATTAAAAACAACAAAAATTATATTGAAAAATTGGCCTATTTAAAAAAAAACTGGAATATTGGGGTTTTATTTTCAAATTAAGTTATATTAGAGTTTTTTATTATAATGAAATAGGTAAACCTTTAAAAAATAAATAAATTCAAAAAAAGTTAAATTAAAGAATAATTTATTAGAATATTAATATATGAATGTCTTTATTGTTAATAATATTAATAATTATAGTAGATTAAGATTATGTTTACAATAATAATAGATATGTAGTTTAAATTATATAAAATTATTCTGTGTATATATAAAATCTCTTATTTTGTAAAAATATAAATAATATAAATTAATAATTTGTGATGTTAATATTAAAATGTATGTATATATATATATATATATATATACATATATATATATATACATATATATATATATT